CTCTGACTGGCAGCAGCTGTCTAGAGTTTCAGACAGAGGCACTCCCAAGCTGACCCGGAGGTAGCAGGGACTGAACCTGAGGCCTTCTATGTGTAAGGCAAGATGTTCCATTGCTGATCCAATGTCCTCCTCCTCACTTTAGCATTGTAGAATTGGAAGAGACCCCATAGGATCATCTAGTTCACCCCCTTGCAATGCAGGAATCAAAACTAAAGCCATCCCTAAAAGATAGCCACCAACTCCTGTTTATTTCCTTGACATCTGATGGGAGGGTAGGCGCCACTACCGAGAAGGCCCTCTGCCTGAGGAAATAGGCCAGGGTCAGCAACCCGCGGCTCCGGAGTCGCATTGGCTCTTTTACACCTTTGCCGCGGCTCCGGGGCGGATACTAGCGAGGGGAGGAGGCGCATTGTGCGCCCGACACTCCCCACTGTTTAAATGTCGCAATGGTTTTGCGGCTCCCAGTTTTTCCCCTTCGGTCCAAGTGACTCTTTTTGTCTTAAAGGTTGCAGACCCCTGAAATAGGCTGAGAAAACACCAATTGGCCCTCTCTATGGAGAAGGGAATATCCCGCCATTTTTCTCTTCTTTTAAAAATTCTCAGCTCCGCAGACCATAAACTTCCCGCACCAACATCTCTCTCCCTTTCCTCCCTCTTTCTCTCCTGCCATACAGCCTTCCCTCTCAAAAACTCTCAGGTGTTGAAATAGGTAAAGAAGCTTCAATTATCATGCACCTGTACTGCTGGGCCAAAGGAGGCAACTTGAATAAATGATGCGGGAACCTAATTAAGGTGTTTTGTTTGCTTATTAAAGCAGGTTGGTAGCGGGGGGGGGGGAGAGAGAGTGGCTTATGATTTCCTTCCTCTTTTTCAGAAAGTCTCTGTGGGATGTGTTATTACTAGAGCAGTCAAGTACAACGTTTTCCTGTTGCCTAGAATGGACACACAGGGGAATGTGGTTCCAGATAGGGAGGAGTTCCTGTCATACCTGCTCTGGCGTGTCCTCCCACTGTGTGTGACCAGGTAGATGGGCACGATCCTAGCTGACCAGATAAAAGCTCTGGCCATGCAATCATCTCTGTCTTGGTCTCTTGGACTCTTGCTCTTGGATTCTCCTGGCTTTTAGCTCAACCTTCACATAGGATGGAGCCCATAAGCAGGAAGTCAGAGATGTAACTCAGACTTCTTTTTGCTGAAACCACAAGGTAAAGCCTGCCTTCAGATTACAACAACAAACCTATGGTTATGTGAAACATACTCAATAAACATACAAGACGTAACCGGCTTTACTTTTGAATAAATAAGGTATACTATTCATTGTAGTATCCCCTATTTATTCAAAAGTAAAGCCGGTTACTATTCATTGTAGGGACGCGGGTGGCGCTGTGGGTTAAACCACAGAGCCTAAGGCTTGCCGATCAGAAGATCGGCGGTTCGAATCCCCACGACGGGGTGAGCTCCCATTGCTCGGTCCCTGCTCCTGCCAAGCTAACAGTTCGAAAGCATGTCAAAGTGCAAGTAGATAAATAGGTACTGCTCTGGTGGGAAGGTAAACAGCGTTTCCGTGCGCTGCTCTGGTTCGCCAGAAGCGACTTAGTCATGCTGGCCACACGACCCGGAAGCTGTACGCTGGCTCCCTCGGCCAATAAAGCGAGATGAGCGCCGCAACCCCAGAGTTGGTCACGACTGGACCTAATGGTCAGGGTCCCTTTATCTTTACTATTCATTGTATCAAATTATAGATTTCAGCGGAAGTCTCATAAAGTTCAACGAAAAAAGCAGAACTCAGTGGTTCAGTTCATTCTCTAGTCAGTTCATACATAAGGTGCATACATGTACAGTGGTACCTGGGGTTAAGTACTCCATTCATTCTGGAGGTCCGTTCTTAACCTGAAACTGTTCTTAACCTGAAGCACCACATTTAGCTAATGGGGCCTCCTGCTGCTGCGCCGCCAGAGCACGATTTCTGTTCTCATCCTGAAGCAAAGTTCTTAACCTGAGGTACTATTTCTGGGTTTGCGGAGTCTGTAACCTGAAGCATATGTAACCCGAGGTACCACTGTATAAGTATCTATTCGCCATCCTAGGCTTCATCAGTAGAACAAGCTCAAATGTAATATTACAGGATAGTGGATCTTATAGCATAGTAGTGGTTGCAAGATGGCGAAACAAGGCTAATATTCTGGAAATCCTTGTCTTAGACTTTGTGAAAGTATTCTGTGGAACTGTAACAACCCTTCATGTGGAATAGACACTTGTACATGTATGGACCTTATGCATGAATGGACTAGAGAATGAACTGATCCACTGGGTCTTCTGCTTTTTTCGTTGAACTTTATGAGACTTCTGTTGAAATGTATAATTTGATACAATGAATAGTATACCTTATTTATTCAAAAGTACAGCCGGTTACGTCTTGTGTGTTTATTGCCTTCAGATTACTGCTGTGAACTGAATGTGAGTAACACTTTATTCTTACTTTGAAAGAAGACTGTGTTGTGTTATTATTTTAAGAGGGAAACGAAGGGGAAACTTGGCAGGAACAATCCAGACTGGATTGCTTAATTAACGGATTCTAACAAATCCTCAACTTGCATCCAATAAGTTGCACAGGGAATGTGCTCTGCTGTTTATTCACTAGCGTGAGTGAGGAGGGATAATATCAAAACAATATATCCTCTCCTACCTTCCTTAGCATTCCCACAGTCTAAGTGCCTGGCAGTCTTCCATGTTAATATTTCAGAGGATGCCGGAGCCTGCTCCACTCATGGGAAAATCTTGCAGAGTTGTTGTTCAGCTCAAGGCTTCCTGAAATGTGTGCAGCTCCAAGGAGGGTGGGAGCAGGAGGCCTGGAGCTGGAGGTGGGTGGGCAAAAGAAGAAAAATTCTACAAGTGAGTGTCTGGAGGCGGTTTGAGGATGGATGACAGCTAACAGATTGAGGTTGAATCCTGACAAGACAGAAGTACTGTTTTGGGGTGGACGGGGGCAGGCGGGTGTGGGGGACTCCCTGGTCCTGAATGGGGTAACTGTGCCCCTGAAGGACCAGGTGCACAGCCTGGGAGTCATTTAGGACTCTCAGCTGTCCATGGAGGCGCAGGTCAATTCTGTGTCCAGGGCAGCTCTTTATGAGCTCCATCTGGTACGCAGGCTGAGACCCTCTCTGCCCGCGGACTGTCTTGCCAGAGTGGTGCATGCTCTAGTTATCTCTCGCTCGGATTACTGCAATGCGCTCTATGTGGAGCTACCTTTGAAGGTGACCCGGAAACTACAACTAATCCAGAATGCGGCAGCTAGACTGGTGACTGGGAGCGGCCACCGAGACCACGTAATACCGGTCTTGAAATATCTACATTGGCTCCCAGTATGTTTCTGAGCACAATTCAAAGTGTTGGTGCTAACCTTTAAAGCCCTAAATAGCCTCAGTCCAGTATACCTGAAGGAGCGTCTCCACCCCCATCGTTCTGCCCGAACACGGAGGTCCAGCGCCGAAGGCCTTCTGGTGGTTCCCTCACTGCGAGAAGCCAAGTTACAGGGAACCAGGCAGAGGGCCTTCTCGGTAGTGGCCCCTGTCCTGTGGAATGCCCTCCCACCAGATGTCAAAGAGAAGAACAACTACTAGACTTTTAGAAGATATCTGAAGGCAGCCCTGTTTAGGGAAGCTTTTAATGTTTAACAGACCACTGTATTTTAAGACTTTGTTGGAAGCCTCCCAGAGTGGCTGGGGAAACCCAGCCAGATGGGCTAATAAATTATTATTATTATTATTATTATTATTATTATTATTATTATTATTATTATCAACAGCCATCCCAGAGCCTTAGCACCATTCATCTCATTTTGCACAATTTATTCCACATCGCACCACCTGCGTCTTAAACTGTTTTGTTATGTAATTTATTCTTCAGAATAGTCGTGCAGAGAGAGCGGACCTCCAGCATCTCCACAGACCAGTCGAAAACCCAATTCCCACACTGGCTTTCGATATTTCCGGGGTGTGTGTGCCTTTTGGCTGGCTTTCCCAGCCAATTCTTCATATGGACTGGGAACTTGAGTGTGTTAAATACTGAACTATGTTGAGAACGGAGCTTCTGAAGCTGAATGATGTGCCGCAGCTCTGTAGGTTTCCTTTTCTTTTTTTAAAAGGAGAAGGGGAAGCTGCATTCCCAGTAAGATTCTAGTCCTCATGAGAAAGTGCTGATTCGAATAGGAACAAAGCTGCCTTACAATGATTCAGTACATCTAGAACAAGACTGTCTACACTGACTGGCAGTGGTTCTCCTGAGTTTCAGGTAGAGAACAATCTCAGCCCTCTCTGGAGATACTGTTGAGCATTGAATCTCAGACCCTCTTCATGCAAAGCAGATAATAATAATAATAATAATAATAATAATAATAATAATAATAATAATATATATATATTATTTTTTATTTATACCCCACCCTCCCCAGCCAAGACCGGGCTCAGGGCGGCTAACAACCAATAATAAAAACAAGTTGATTAAAATACAATTTAAAAAAGATTAAAATACAACATTAAAACATTAGGATGCAGCCTCTTCACAGGAGGAGAAAGGAAAAAGAAGGGGAGGGAATCAAACTGATTCCAAGCCCAAGGCCAGGTGGAACAACTCTGTCTTACAGGCCCTGCGGAAAGAAATAAGATCCCGCAGGGCCCTGGTCTCATGAGGCAGAGCGTTCCACCAGGCCGGAGCCAGTGTTGAGAAGGCCCTGGCTCTGGTTGAGGCTAATCTAACTTCCTTAGGGCCCGGGACCTCTAGGGTGTTGCTATATATGGACCTTAAGGTCCTCCGTGGGGCATACCAGGAGAGGCGGTCCCATAGGTACGAGGGTCCTAGGCCGTGAAGGGCTTGAAAGGTCAAAACCAGCACCTTAAATCTGACCCTGTACTCCACCGGGAGCCAGTGCAGCTGGAAAAGCACTGGGTGAATATGCTCCCATGGCAAAGACCCCGTGAGGAGCCTCGCTGCAGCATTCTGCACCCGCTGGAGTTTCTGGGACAGCTTCAAGGGCAGCCCCGCGTAGAGCGAATTACAGTAGTCAAGCCTGGAGGTACTCTGCTACTGACCCTTTCCCTAGAGCTCATGTAGCCTGGGATACATTGAGATGCTCAAATCCATTTGGTGTTGGGTGGAAAACAACAACCCACCTGTGCCCTCTTGCTGTGCCCTTGAAAATCCTTTCGTGTGCAATTATCATGGTTTCACGTGGATTATGGCTAGCCAGCTTTTAAATTAATATTTTTTAAGTCACCTGCATACAACGGACGAAGGAAATAATCAGCATTAGTCTTACTCCCAGGATATTATTATCATTGGGCGGCGGTGAGGTTTTTTTTTCTTCCTGTCATTGTTTTCTTTTTAATTAAATTGGATGACAAAGCCAAGACACAGACAGAAGAAAACCGATAACGAGACCGTAAATAGTTTTAGAAAAAAAAGAGGGGGTGGGGAGAGGAGGAAGAAAAGAAAGACAGAAAGAAAGAAAGCAAAGCAGAAGAGAGAGAGAGAGAGAGAGAGAGAGAGAGAGAGAGAGAGAGAACAGAAGTCTGGTCAACGGAGATGTGAATTCTGGGTGGAGGAGAAACGAAGGGTCTCTGCGTCAAAGGCTTTCACGTTAGTTCCAAAGTAACTGTTAAGATGATGGCCAGAAGGAATTTATAGCTGCTGTGGCTGTCTGGTGAACCTAGGTGAACAAAAAAAGAAGAAGACAATTTTTGACAGGCTTCTTTTGTACGCATCTGGATGCACAGACCTGGACATCATTTCATTTTTACTTCGTCAGAAAATCAGAAGAGGCTTCCAGATCAGACAATGATCTGATCTAGTCCAGAATTCTGTTCTCCAACCAGCCAACCAATGCTCCAAAGGCAGGGTTCAAGCATAAGAGCACCATCCCCTCTGACAGTTTCTGGCAACTGGTATTCAAAAGCATTTCCGCCTCTGACCATGGAGGCAGAGCCTAGCTGTCAAGGCTTGTAGCCATTGATAAGCCCTCTCCTCCGAAAAGTTTAAAGCATCCAAATTGGTGGCCATCGTTGTGGCAATATCTAAAACAAGGCAGTCAGAACCAGCTAGATTGCTAGAAAGCCACGCACGCCTACAGGAAATTCTTTCTTGTGAGAGCCACTTTCACTGTGTCAAGCCAGGTAAAGGAGATCAGCCTATACAGTGGTACCTCTGGTGGCGAACGGGATCCGTTCCGGAGGCCCGTTCGCAACATGAGCGGAACGCAACCCGCGTCTGCGTGTCTGCGCATGCGTGGGTTGTGATTTGCCGCTTCTGCGCATGCACGTGATGTCATTTTGAGCGTCTGCACATGCACAAGCTGCGAAACCCAGAAGTAACCCTTTCCTGTACTTCCGGGTCACTGCAGAACGCAACCTGAAAATGCTCAACCTGAAGCAAATGTAATATAAGGTATGACTGTATAAGCTGGTCACGTCCCTAGCCTGCTCTCTCTCTCTGATCCCTGATCCCTGATCTCCGATCTCTCTGATCTCTTCTCTTTGATGCTTCATTGATGACTAGGAATGCAGGGCACGTGCTGACTCGTGAGTCACAGCTCAGACACCGGTTCTAACCTAAACAACAATATATGTCTGTAACTACATTTTAAGCCTGCCTCAAAACTGTTACTGTGAAATCGAGCGAGGAACTCTACCTTTACTAAGAAGAAGAGTGTTTTGCATGGTTGTTGTTTTAAAGGAAGAAAAGGGGGAAATACCAGGAAATCCAGTTTGCAGTAAAGCATCCTTGATGACTTAAATTAAAAGGCTAAAGCTAGCTTATCAACAGCTTCCTTAGTTTTGCTGACGAAGGGATGGACTCACAAATGTAAGGATGGATAATATCTAAGAAATATATCCTCTGCCTAGTTTCTATACCAGGCTTCCTCAACCTCAGCCCTCCAGATGTTTTTGGCCTACAACTCCCATGATCCCTAGCTAGCAGGACCAGTGGGCAGGGATGATGGGAATTGTAGTCTCAAAACATCTGGAGGGCTGACGTTGAGGAAGCCTGTTCTATATACATCCTTGCAATCATTTCCCCCTTTGGGAGGAAGTTCCTTAGTTTAGCTGTGTGCTGCATGAAGAAGTCCTTTCTTGTGATCTACAGCAACTTGTGTTTCCGAGGTATACTGTTTCTGACATTGGAGGGAGAACATAGATATCATGGCTGGTTGCCTTATCCACCGGGCAGGCACTTAGGATTGCTCCCTAAATAAAAGCTGAAGGGTTGTGCCTTACCATTGGAGTCTTCTGTTCCTCTTGGGATATTTGGGTTTTCTAAAAGGAGAAAGAAAAGGGACAAAAATGAAGAATAATGAGGTGGTCACATTAACATGGGAGAACATTGCGCAGTTGCCAGATATTGCCAGTGTGGGATGTGATACATTAGTAGCAGTCAAATACAACATTCCTTGTTTTCCTAGAGTGGACATGCAAGGGGATGTTTGGTTCAGCCAGTCGGAACCTCCTGTTTCCTCCTGGGCTGGGCCATACTTCCTTTTGCATGTGACTAGAGGTGGGTGTGACCTTACCTGTGCAGGTAACAAAAGCACAAGGCATGCAGCCTTCCTCCCTCTCTTTTCCACCTTCCTTTCGTCGTGTGAACTGAAGTGACTGACAGTCTGCAGTCACTGGGATTAACCCTCCCATATGGGGTCGATCCACATGTATATACTTTGTAACTAAGTCTGCCTTCAGGGATCCATCTGTGGAACCGATGATGTGAGCAATCTTCTTTTATAGACTTTACACAAGATTGTGGTGTGTTTATTCTTTTAGGAGGGATTCAAACAGAACTTACTAGGAGTGTAATAGGAAGAGGCTTAAACAAGCCTGCAACCAGCTATCTGCTGTGCATTTAAAAGGGGAATGTGAAACTCTGCTAAGTTAAAGGACTTGCTAGCACACGTTAGAAAGGATATTAATAAGCAATATATCCTGCTCCCAAGCCTCCCCCAAACTGCCGGAAAGAAGGGGGGGAGGCTGCTGGCAAAGCAGCATGATCCCCATCCCCAAGAGAGCAACCCACTGCTCCCAAGCCTCCCTGAGCTATCAGGGGAAAGGGAAGGTCATGAATATAAGTTGCACTTTAACTTTTCACTGTCAGAATTTGGAAAAAAAGTGTGGCTTATATTCGGGCCAATACAGTACTTCATCGTAACTGTGGGATGTGAAACACAAGAGCAGTCAAGTACAACATTCCTAGAGTGAGCATGTTTGCACATGGGGAGGAATGTTTGTCCAGCCAGCAGGTAAACTTCCTGTTTCCTTCTGGGCTGGGACAGACTTCCTCTGCATGTGACTGGAGGTGGGTGTGGCCTCACCTGTGCAGGTAATGACAAAAGCACAGGGCAGGGCAGCCATCTCTCTCTCTGTGACTACTTTCATTGAAGAAGCAACATCTGCTTAGCCAAAGATGCTCTCTTGGCCTCCAGCCAAGAGAGGACAAAGGGTCTGTCTCCTTATAGGATAGTTTCCAGGTGTATGTTACTTTTCTAAGCTAAGTCTGCCTTCTGGGATCCGATTGTGAACAGAATGTGAGTAAACCTTTTTATACTTTTATAGAAGACTGTGTCGTGTCTTATCTTTTATGAGGGAATAAGGGGGAAATACCAGAACAGTTTATAGAGGCTTTAGAGAGCCTGAGCAAACGCATCCACTGCAAGTTTAAAAAGGGGAATGTTACTCTGCTAAATTGTGAACTTGTTAACACAAGTTGGAAGGCTATAATCAGACAATATATCCTCTCCTGCATCCCTGAACATTCCCCCACAGTAAGATCTCGGGGCAGTTCACAGACCATAGAGACTGTGTGCCCAGGGGCTTCTATGAATAGTGAGGAGGAGGATCTGGGCCTGATGGTGGCAGGAAAGGGATAATGTGTGGAGGACCCCAAACCATGGAGAATGGTTCCCCAAGGGCCGTGAATGGGAGAACCGCAACCTCCCGCATACCAAAGACTATCAGCCTGGTGTGGGTGTCCGTGGATCCAAGTGGGTTCTGCGCTGTGCAGCGGTACATGGAGCCGTTCAGTTCTGCCGGCACTCGCTCCAAGATCAGCTCCTTGCCATCGTGCTCCGCACTGCCGTCCAGGAGCCTGCTCCCAACGCGGGTCCAAGTGAACATGGGTTCGGGGAAGACTTCATTCTGAAAGCCAAGCAACACCCAACAAATGCATCGGTAGAGCTGCAAAGTCTAGTTTCTCTGCAACAGTGACCAGATAGGAACTTTGAAGACTCATGAGGCTCATATTAAAGAAAAAGGAGGCTGAACCTCGTAAGGTCCCTGGATTTGGAATTGCAATCTAAACTGGAGAAGAACTCCTTACAGCTCACCTTGAACACAATGGAGTGCAATGCAAACTACATTTCCCAAGAGTCACTGCAGCGGCGGTTGTTATGTCGGGATAAACATTATTTCAAAGGAAGGAGAAAGGGGAGTTTCATGAATTAAGAGGCCGGGTGGTTGGTTGACTTTGGGGGGTGGATTGGCTTGCTATTTAAGTACAGTGGTACCTCGGGCTACATATGCTTCAGCTTACAGACTCTGCTAACCCAGAAATAGTGCTTCAGGTTAAGAACTTTGCTTCAGGATGAGAACAGAAATCGTGCTTCGGCAGTGCAGCAGCAGGAGGCCCCATTAGCTAATGTGGTGCTTCAGGTTAAGAACAGTTTCAGGTTAAGAACGGACCTCCAGAATGAATGGAGTACTTAACCCGAGGTACCACTGTACAGTCATACCTCATGTTATGTTTGCTTCATGTTACGTTATTTCAGGTGACATCCTGCGGCAACCCGGAAGTATCGGAAAGGGTTACTCCCGGGTTTTGCCACTCGCGCATGTGCAGAAGCACAAAATGACACCATGCACATATGCAGAAGCAGTGAATCACAACCCGTGCGTGTGCAGACGCACTGCTGCGCGTTGCTCTCTATTCATGTTGCGAAATGGCCTCCGGAATGGGTCCCGTTTGCAACCAGAGGTACCACTGTAGAGTCTTTTCTAGCATTTTGCGGTTAATGTGGGGGCAACAGGTGGCTCGATCTGATGTGAGTTAGGCAGGAAAGTTTTCTGTCCAATGTCAATGCTGCTCAGAGTAGACAGTGTCGTGTAGTGGTTCGAGTGTCAGAATCCCCTTTCTTGTAACTTGAATCCATTGGTTCAGGCACCATCCTCTGGAGCAGGAGAGAACAAGCTTGCTTCATCTTCTATGTGACTGCCCTTCATGGTATCTGAAAATGACTCTCATATCACCTCTCCTCTTATCCAGGCCAAACATCCCCAGCTCCCTCAGCCATTCCTCCTAAGGTTTGGTTTGCAGACCATTTTATCATCTTGGTTGCCCTCCTCTGCCCATGTTCCAGCTTGTCAATATCCTTCTTAAACGATGGTGCTCAGAATTGGCACTGGATTCCAGGGTGGGGTATAGACTGTTCCCACGGACTGTCTGGCCAGAGCGGTGCATTTTCTAGTTATCTCCCACTTGGACTACTGCAATGCACTCTACGTGGGGCTACATTTGAAGGTGATCCGGAAACTGCAATTAATCCAGAATGCGGCAGCCAAACTGGTGACTGGGAGTGGCCGCCGGGACCACATGACACCAGTCCTGAGAGATCTGTGTTGGCTCCCAGTCCATTTCTGAGCACAATTCAAAGTGTTGGTGCTGACCTAAATAGGCTGAGCCCTAAATGGCCTTGGTCCTGTATACCTGAAGGAGCGTCTCCACCCCCATCGTTCAGCCCGGACACTGAGATCCAGCGCTGAGGGCCTTCTGGGTGTTCCCTCATTGCAAGAAGTGAGGTTACAGGGAACCAGGCAGAGGGCCTTCTCGGTAGTGGCGCCCGCCCTGTGGAATGCCTGCCTTCATTTTTTTTAAAATGATATTTATTAAGAATTTTAAAATTACAAAGGAATAGAGAGAAAAAGAAGGGGGGGAAAGCAATAAAAAGACAAACAGCAGTCAAACAATACAAATCGATAAAAATCAAAATCGAAAAAAACAAAAACAAAACACATAACACATCAAAATCAAAAAACAAGAATAAACGACAAAAATTTAAAAACAGATCCAATATTCCCAAATCCTTAACTAAAAAGGTAAAGGTACCCCTGCCCGTACGGGCCAGTCTTGACAGACTCTAGGGTTGTGCGCCCATCTCACTCAAGAGGCCGGGGGCCAGCGCTGTCCGGAGACACTTCCGGGTCACGTGGCCAGCGTGACATCGCTGCTCTGGCGAGCCAGAGCCGCACACGGAAACGCCGTTTACCTTCCCGCTAGTAAGCGGTCCCTATTTATCTACTTGCACCCGGGGGTGCTTTCGAACTGCTAGGTTGGCAGGCGCTGGGACCGAGCAGCGGGAGCGCACCCCGCCGCGGGGATTCGAACCACCGACCTTTCGATCGGCAAGCCCTAGGCGCTGAGGCTTTTACCCACAGCGCCACCCGCGTCCCTAGATCCTTAACTATCATGACCTTATTTCATCGACCTCCTCACACCTCCCTTTTTTGTATTCTAGTTGTTAATTATAACAGCAAATCCTTTCCATTTTTCATAATATCCTGTCATTAAATTACCTTAATCTATTTTGACCTATAATACATAAAAAATCCTAAAATTTAAAACTTAAATCTTATTTATACCAATTTCTCCTAACCATAGCATATTCTTGCAAAGTTCTTTTTAACATTTCTGCTAAAGCCAAATAATTTCGTTCCAACATTTTTCTAATATTCATTAATTTTTCAGAACAATCCTAAATATTTTTTTTAAAAAAAACTTTCTTCCAATCTTCATCCAACGTCTCTTCCTCCTGGTCTCGGGTTTAGTCAGTCCTTTCTATCCCATCCATCTAGTTCATTAACCTGGTAATCTTATGTCTGAGGCCCTTAAGTCTCTTCCATGTCCCTTCCGCAAATCTTCTTCATATTTATACCTGTACTTTACTTTGTCTCCTGGTCCTTTCACTTGTGGAAACTCCAACTTAACAATATTTTTGTCCCTTCTCGACAGATCAGTCCCTTTTCCATAGCTCACACTGAACTCCATGTGTTTTTTAAAGACATGTTTCAAACCCCCTCCAGGGTTGAGGACCCCCACAACCCCAGACTCCTCACGGCCCATTGCCAGACTTGAAAGGTCAAAACATCCCTTCATAGGGGGGTCTATCCAGCCCCCCATCTCCAAGCCAAATACAACTCTATCTCTCCAAATCTGGCTTTTTCCAAATTCATTTGTCAGATCCAACAACTCATGTTCCTGCTGGGCCACAGCTCCCTCCATCTCTGCCACCCGAGGTCCAAAAACAACCTCCTCCCTCATCTGATCTGTCAGAGCACAAGTTGGTTCCTGGGTGGGTTCTATATAGATACCCACTGCCTGTCCAAAATTTCTAATCGCAACAGTCATCAAATCCGTCTTCTCATGTAACTGTTCCCTCTTCTCATGTAACTGTTCTAGTAAAGCACTTGTCTTGCAGAAAGCACGCACCAGAGCCTCTGAGTACATTGTTATGCAAGGTCAGAAGTCTGTTCCCACGGTCTTAATCTGTTGCAGCTGCAAAGCTTCCCAGTTCAAATTCAATAACAGTTTCACAAGCTCCTTCTAGGGGAAGAACTTCTATTTGTATCCATCTCTTTTCTTTTTTCTTTTCAAAAGCAGATCTAACAACAAAGTTTCCTTTTTCAGATATTTTGTCAATATTTGTTCCTTTAACATGCGAAGGACAACAATGGAATCACTATGTTTCTCTTCTTTTGACTGTCTGTCACAAACGTTTGTCTGTAGTCAATGAACTTCCCAAAAGCTTCTGTCCTGACACCCCGCTCCCAGGTTCAAGACGGTGGAAAATTACTTTTCTTTACACATTCTTCTGCAGGTTTAAACAATCCAGAAAAAATCCCCCCTCTTCTCCTGCTTCCAAAGAGGGTTCAGTACTTTTAAATGATGAAAATTGATCCTTTGCGAATGATTTTTTGAACTCTAGTTTACCATGTCTTTGCTTTAATCTATCTACAAGAAACGGAAGGCTGACTTCCTGTTTAGACCTTCCCACTTCAGTGCCAATTTAAAAAGAATTTCTCAATCCAATTTTCCGTTCTACTCAATGGTCGTTGTTTAAAGTCCAATTGTCCAAATTTAATCTACTCACGGGTAGTTGTTTTTGTAGCCAAATTGTCCCAGGAAAAAGGTAGCGCTCTCCGGCAACGGCTATGCGGCTTCGCTCCACGGAAGAAGCAGTTGACTCTCAGCACCGCGCCACTTGCCCCTCTTCGCTCCAGAACCCGTAGTTGGGTTCCTTTACGGATTGGGGGGGCGCGAAAGGTGCCCGCCGAGTCCCATGGTCACAGGCTTCATCCGCTTGTGATTTTTTAAAGGGTCCCCGCTTCGCCGTAGCGGAACAGACCCGTTTTCCGTGGAGCCAGTCCCTCCAGATCAGAGGGAATCCGCCATTACCGATGGCACCACCCCGGAAGTCTGGAATGCCTCCCTTCAGATGTGAAGGAAATAAGCAGCTATCTCATCTTTAAAAGACATCTGAAGGCAGCCCTGTTTAGGGAAGCTTTTAATATTTAATGTTGTATTGTTTTTAACACTTGATTGGGAGCCGCCCAGAGTGGCTGGGGAAACTCAGTCAGATGGGCGGGGTATAAAGTCTTCTTCTTCTTCTTCTTCTTCTTCTTCTTCTTCTTCTTCTTCTTCTTCTTCTTCTTCTTCTTCTTCTTCTTCTTCTTTCCACCCATGAGATAGAGCTGCCATTGAGCTACGCTTTGTGCGTCTTCTACCTTCCCTCTGCCCAACCCCAACCCTGTGCACACATGCCGCTGTGAATATGGATCGGCTTCACTCTCCCGAAAAGTCCCACTTAGTGCCTTCAATTGGTTCAGCTCAGCGCCTGGATTAAGGAACAGTTACCCCCCTTTCACAGCCTGAAATCACCTGGTAATGACAACAAACAGAGGCGCAGATGAGATGGCATTAAACAGCTTGCAAATCCTCTTGGAGAAACTCTGAGTTAATGGGGTGAGAGAAAACAGTGTAGGGCAGGGGTGAGATCTAAATCTCACCAGCTTTGTGCTTTGCAAGGAAGGGTGCAAAACGTATGAGAGATTTTGACACACAGGAACACAGCAAGCTGTCTTATACTAAGTCAGACCATTGGGCCCATCTAGCTCATTACTGTCTACACTGTTTGGCAGTAGCTCTCTGGGAATTATAGACATGGTTCTCTCTCATCCCTACTTGGGGAGTGAACCTGGGACCTTCTGCATGCAAAGCAGATGCTCTACCACCAAGCTATGGCCCTTCTCCTCCTTTTGCTAATTTTAATTTTTCCGGTTAGCATGCAAATGCTTTATAATAATGCATCCAGGCTGCCATTGCCTACTCCGAATGGAGAACGTGTCTCCAAAAATGTTCTCAGTTTTGGCAAGCTGGAAATCTTTTTGCTGCAGGTGCTGGGGATCGAACCAAGGTCTGCGGTCTCATCTGATGAGGGCTGTGGCTCAGTGACAGAGCAACTGCTTTGCATGCAGAAGGTCCCTGGATGAATCTCCAGTGGCATCTCCAAGTAGGGATGGGATTGTCCCCTGCCTGAAATCCTGGAGAGCTGCTGCCAGTCTGGGTTAGTAGGCCAAAAGCCCCAAGTTCACTCCAAGCAGAAGGTAGCTTCCTACAATCTTCTGTTGAATACATGCCCATCACAGGAGCTCTCCAAGGTCCTGAAGAGTCGGAATCTACTGTCTATGATGGTATTATCCAGATCCTGCAATTCTCTTCTCACTGCTGGCTGGTCTAAGGTGCACGTTTAACATTCCTATGAGTAATGGATACATAGCTGCTGAATACTGATTCAGACCATTGACTCATCTAGCCTAATATTGCTAACTCTGACTGGCAGTGGCTCTATAACAGGCATCCCCAAACTCGGCCCTTCAGCTTTTTTGGGACTACAGTTCCCATCATCCCTGACCACTGGTCCTGTTAGCTAGGGATGATGGGAGTTGTAGTCCCAAAACAGCTGGAGGGCCAAGTTTGGGGATCCCTGCTCTATAAGGTCCTTCGCCTAATATAGCATACCTTTCTACATTATCTCCATTAATCTGGATGTATTCATAATCAGTTTGTTGTATGCTGCAAAATTTAGAGAAGAGCAGATGTCAAAGGAAACTGTGGTTTGATCTCCGTGTGTTAGTTTGCGAAGTGGTAATATTCAGTAGGTTCATATGGGATCCAGTGTGGCATAGTGGTTAGAGTGTCAGACCTGGTAGAGACCAGGGTTCAGATCCCCACTCAGCCATAATGCGGGTGTGACCTTGACGCCAGTCACTGCCTCTCTCAGCCTAACTTACATCACAGGGTTGCTGCGAGGTGCAGTGGTTAGAGTGTCAGACTAGTTCCCAGAAGACCAGAGTTCGAATCCTCCCACAGGGCCATGACACTCACTGGGTGTAACTTTGGGGGCCAGTCACTGCCTCTCAGGCTAGCCTACCTCACAGGGTTCTTGTGGGGATAAAATGGGGGGATAAAGAAGCATGTACACCACCTTGAGCTCCTTGGAGGAAAAGGTGTAAGACTATAAATGTAAACAAACCAACAAGATTAAAATGTGAGCTGATCAAACACCTCCCCCATCCTTAGATATAAACAACCCAAACTCATATGAACTGTAAGAGATGCCAATAAGTCTCAGTGACGCCCTTCGGGTTCATACTCACTTGAAAACCTTGCACCAGGATTCGCACTGTGTCTCCTACTCGGGCTCTTGTTGGGGTCATCATGATCTTTGGGCCCTTGGGAGCCACTGTGGGAAAAGAGAATAGGTGGGTACCCCAATCTGTTGCACTTCCAAACATCCCCATCGTGAGCACTACCAACTGTTGAACTAGTCCCAGCTCCTCTACCTTTTTGACAGAAGCCAGGTCCACAACAAAGAACAGAGTGTTGTGTTTAGCTCCATCCCAAGAGGTGGCTAGAGTGAGTGGTTAGAGTGTGGTGCTGACACTAGTAGAGTGTGGTACTGAGACCTGGGTTCAAATCCCACCCAGCTGTGATGCTCACCTGATGATCTTGGACCTCTCTCTCTCTCCCCTACCTCCCAGGGTTGTTGTGGGGGCAAAGCAGGAGAGGAGAGCCACCCATGCAACCTTGAGATCCTTGGAAGAATGGTGGCATATAAATATAAGGAAGAAAACAAATGAGCTTCATCCACCACTAGCCCAACTCAAAGGAGATCACATGAAGTTAATAGACATGTCTTAGGTTTATTCATTTCAATGTGTCTGCTCCGAGTATGACTTAGTTTGATACACTCCATTGCAACTCCTTACCTGCCCATTTCTATAGCCTCTTAGAACCATAGAATTGAGGAGTTGAAAGGGACCCCATGAGTCATCTAGTCCAACCCCTTTCAATGCAGAAATCACAGCTAAAGCATCCTTGACAGGATCTGCTTAGAAACCGCCAATAGAACAGGAGCAACAAGGCCCTCTCCCCTGTTTGGTTGGCAACTTCATGCATACATTTCCTGGCCAGATTTCACGCCCCAATCTTTTCTCCACCTTTGACCTCAAAACTCTGAGATCTGAATGCAAATCCAAGAAATCTGAGCAGACACTCAAATCCTCCCTCTCCCACCAACTTGGGGTCCTTGTTCCAGCACCTCAAATTTCAGTGATGCCTTGTGTGATGCCAAAATCTGACACCTTCCCACCAGGATGAAAGAGTGGTGGCAGCTGCTGTGACACCCCAGATGTTTGGTGCCCAGTGAGACCACACCAGTCGTGCTCCCCTGGAACTGCCTCTGCTGGTTCATGGCCTGATTTCTTCACAATTCCACAAACTTGCTGACCATTAAAGACGGGAGGCAAAATTCAATACGAAGCAAGGTTGGCTGGAGTTTGCGTCTAAAAGTTCTGGGCTGGGGGGGCTGTTTGAGAATTCCCTTCTTCCACATGGAGGAGAGGATCACATCAGGGAGTGAGAGGATCCCTCCTGAACTAGACCCCCTTAATCCACCTGGTCCACCTTTCTGTTTCCCGCATCAGCCAATCATATGCTTCCAGGAAGCACAGAGGCAAGATGGGAAGGTGTTGGCCATCCCTCATCCCTAGCACCTGATATTCAGAGGTTGACTGGGCATTGAGGGTGGCATACTCTGCCCTCTGGAACTCCCTCCAGCAGGGCTCTTTGCATGTTCTTATGTTTCTTTCATGTCCCTGCACACACACACACTCACACTTTTTGTAAATGAAAATTCCCCCAAATGTAACAATACCTCACAGGAGACCTGCTGTGGCCCCACTATCTTTTGGGTTGCCCTTTTCTGCACCTTTCCTAGCTCTCCAAAATCCTTTTTGAAGTGTGGGGACTAGGACTGTTCACAGTTATTCCAACTTCTGTTGCACCACGGATGGGCTGTTTTATCTTCAATACCTTTCCTAGCAACCTTCCACATAGAATTCACCAGCACCATTCCCCCTAACCTCCCTTCTGAACAAATCAGAATATAATTTGCATCGGTTGTCCTTAACAAGTCGCCGGCTATGTGGGGGTCAGGCGTCTAGGAGGCAGAAAAAGTGCCCTGAGTTGTGTCTTTTTGCGGAGATCAAGCAACGAAGCTGCATGCATAAATGAGATTCGCTGGGCGCTCCACTCTCTTCAAAGGATGTGTGGAGATGTGCTGGAATTGGTAAGGGTCAGAGCTGATTGGATGAAACAAGGAAGGTTACCTTGGCAACGAAAGATCTAAATTCCCTTGGCTTACACTAAGACTGGGGCGACGCCCCCCACCCCAAGGGGGACATGGGGAAAGTGTTCTAGGGGGTTTCTACATTTTCTGCATTTGGAGAGGCACCAGTTGCACTCTTTGTGCCACTGTAGGAAGAAGCTGCCAATCTCAGACTGGCCTGGTCTTTCTCATCAGTTTGACACCTGTCAGTCGGCATTTCCCGATCTTATGTTCAGCCTTCCATGTTTCCACATCAGTAAGCGGTGATGTGACAGTAGTTTATAAAATTATGCGTGGCACAAGACAGTGGATAGAGAGACAGCGTGGTGTAGTGGTTAGAGTGCCGCACTAAGACCTGGAAAAGAGTTTGAATCCTCACTCAGTCATGAGGCACACTGGGAGGGAGGGCAGTCAATGACTCTCAGCCTAACTTCCCTCACAATGTTCTTGTGGGGATCGAATGAGGAAGAGAGAGAGCCATACACACTACCTTCTGGCATAGCTGTCAACTTACAGATTTGAAAATAAGGGACCAGCAGCCTCGGAAATAAGGGATCAGCAGCCAAAATGAGTGATTTTCAGAGCACAGGGATGTTCGACTTCTGAGCCCCTCCGAGCCAAAGGCAGAAAGCCCAGCCAGCAGCCAAACGAAGCCGCAAGCAGTGGTTCCCACAGCGCAGGAACCCGGCAAAGGGGATGCAGCAAGGAAAACCACCGTCACCTCTCCGCTGGGAAGCGCTGAGCAAAGGCAAGTCCCCAGGCAATGCGGCCGATTTGATCGGCACAAGGCATGCAAGCTCCACCCCCAATCGTTCTTAGACTCCTTATTGGGTGAGCAACGCAGCCAAGCAACAGAGTTGGAGCCTCCCTCCTCCCTGACCAGCAGGGAGGGAGGGAGAGGAGCTGCTTCCTTTGAAACCAGGGAAATTTAAGGGACATCATCAATAAGGGACAGCAGCAGGACACGGTGCTGGGATAAGGGATTTTCCCGCCAAAAAGGGATGGTTGACAGCTATGCCTTCTGGGAGAAAAAGGTGGGTTATAAATGCAATCCGTGCAATGAAGAAATGTTTTCCTTCCTCTCTCATAACATTAGAACTCATGGGCTTCCATTGAAGCTGAAGCTGTGAAGAATTAGGATGGATAAAAGGAAGGACTTAACATTTAAGAGCATAAGAAGACTCTGCTGTATCATGGAAAGGCTTTGGTCTTTCAGACAAAATTATCACCCCTTGCCTCTCGTCCTCTGTTCTGCTCAATCCTCTATGTCAGGCACGTCCAACTCTGGCTGTGATCTATCTATTGTCATTGTCAGGAGTTGCTGAGCTTCTTTTAGGGGAGACTTGACCAAAGTTGTTGAGCTTTTTAGGGGGAGCGGGGTTTGGAACACAAAGGCGATCACTAACTTTATAACTTGATACTAAGACACCCCTGAGATCGACCGGTTGATCGCGATCGACCTGTTGGACATGCCTGCTCTACGTCATAGTTGTGATGCCCCACAGCACCTCCTAGGCTTGGTGCCCCATATGTCCTAAATCCAACTCTGGCCGGATCAGGCTAAAGTGGGCACATCTAGCCCAATATCCTGTTCTCTCAACCAGATGGCTCTTCTGGGAAATCCGCAGGCAGGATCTGAGTGCAAAAGCCCTCTTCCCTCTTGCAGTTTCAGCAACTGGTGTTTGGAAGCATTGAACTACTGCTATGCGCTCTACGTGGGGCTACCTTTGAAGGTGACCCAGAAACTACAACTAATCCAGAATGCGGCAGCAAGACTAGTGACTGGGAGCGGCCACCAAGACCATATAACACCGGTCTTGAAAGACCTACACTGGCTCCCAGTACGTTTCCGAGCACAATTCAAAGTGTTCGTGCTGACCTTTAAAGCCCTAAACGGCCTCGGTCCAGTATACCTGAAGGAGCATCTCCACCCCCATCGTTATGCCCGGACGCCTAGGTCCAGCACCGAGGGCCTTCTGGCAGTTCCCTCGCTGCAAGAAGCAAAGCTACAGGGAACGAGGCAGAGGGCCTTCTCGGTAGTGGCACCCGCCCTGTGGAACGCCCTCCCACCAGATGTCAAAGAGAAAAACAACTACCAAACTTTTAGAAGACATCTGAAGGCAGCCCTGTTTAGGGAAGCTTTTAATGTTTAATAGGTTATTGTATTTTAATATTCTGTTGGAAGCTGCCAAGAGTGGCTGGGGAAACCCAGCCAGATGGGCGGGATATAAATAATAAAAAAATATTATTATTATTATTATTATTATTATTATTATTATTATTATTATTATGGCCAGCTGTCATGGGTTAGCTGAAATTCCTGGGCTGCAGGGGGGTTGGGCTAGATGACCCACAGGGTCCCTTTCAGTTCTATGATTCTAATGATTCCTCCAACTGCGCAGCCAGAGCACAGGCACCCTGGCTGGTCACTATCGATAGCTTCCTCTTCCTCTGTGAATTTATGGAATCCTCTTTTGAAGCTATCTAGGTTCTTAGAGAAAACAGCAAAGCATGATTCTATCTGGGATGGGGATGTGGCAAATTTCAGATGGTGATAGCAGGTCACAGTGGATGTAACCCTGCCCTCCCCTTCAGCTCATGAAGAACCAGAGTAAGAGCAGCTTGCCTACATCTTCCCTCTACCTAATCCATTTTCACACCCTGTTCCTTAATACCAGGCCAAGTCACTTAAATTAACAAGCAGGAAATAAAACGGAAAGGTTTCTTTGCACAGCCTGAATCCACCAAGGCAACAAAAACTCTCCACTCACATTCAGGGCCTGGGGTATTCCTCCCTACCGCCATTTCAATTTTTTACAACCGTTAATAAACACCACGATGGCAGTTATGCCTCTTAATAAAGGAGGTGATCAAATTTCATGCTTTGATGGAAGAGGAATGGAGGACTGGAGGACTCTCTTAACACCAGCCTTTCTCAACCTTGAACTACAACTCCCATCATTCCTAGCTAGCAGGATCAGTGGTCAGGGATGATGGGAGTTGTAGCCCAACAACATTTGAGGACCCAAGATGTTGAGAGAAGCTGCTCTAATCATTCTGCAGTGCTGGGCAGT